CACAGCGTATTGAATGTCAGGTCTGGTCAGAGTGAGATATTGGAGTTTTCCTGCAAGACTCCTGAAGTAAGACGGATCAGAAAAGAGCTCTGTTTGACCCGGAACTCTGTCCAACTGAAGTGGTAATGGAGTCTGAACAGGAGCACACTCAGCCATTCCAGCATTGATAAGAAGATCAGTTGTATACTTCTCTTGGTTAAGAAACAAGCCGCCATTGTGAGCTTAGACCTGAATGCCAAGAAAGTAATGCACAGTGCCCATATCCTTCATCCTAAACTCAGTGTTCAGACATGAGATAAGCTTCGCTATCAGTTGATCATTGCTGCCAGTCAATAACATGTCGTCAACATAGAGCAGGAGATAGATGACATCAGTACCCTGAAGGTAGACAAAGAGAGAAGGATCACGTAGAGTACACCTGAAACCAAAGTCTAGCAGAAACGTGCTAAACTTATCAAACCAAGCACGTGGGGACTGCTTTAGACCATAAATCGCCTTCTTTAGCTTGCAAATATGATGAGGTTTAGAGGGATCTGTAAAACCAGGTGGCTGTCTCATGTATACCGTTTCCTTTAGATCACCATTCAAAAATGCATTCTCAACGTCGAGCTGCTTGATGTTCCAGCCTCTGACTGTAGCCACATGCAGGACAGATCTAATTGTAGCCGTCCGTACAACAGGACTATAAGTTTCCACGAAATCGATTCCTTCTTCCTGACTACTGCCATTTGCAACAAGTCTGGATTTGAGTTTGTCTTCTGAGCCATCAGCATTAAGCTTTGTCTTATGAACCCAATGACACGCCAGAGGTGTAATGTTAGGTACAGGAGGAACCAAATCCCAAGTGTGTGTGACTGCAAAATTGTTCATCTCATGCTGCATTGACTGAAACCATCTTTCATCTTTTAATGCTGCTGCAACTGACTTTGGAGTTGGATAAGAGTCTTTTACAGTAAACAACACGTATCTAGGATTTGGTTTACGTATACCTTCTCTACCTCTGGTTATCATAGGATGTGTTGGTCCTTGTACAGCAGGAGGAGAACTAGCAGCGGATGTTGAAGTTGAGGAGGATTGGGATGGAGAGGATAAGGGTGGGAAGTCATCAGCGTTGAACAGGGGTTGAGGATGTGGTGAAGTAGGGACAGGAGTGGGAGGGGTTGATCGAGGAACAGCAGGGAGAATGTCTTCAGGAGTAGGTTGGTCAGATTCTGGAGGTGGTGTTGGTTGAAAGAAACTTGACTGCCACGCTGACAATAGCGGAGTATCAAGAGTAGACTGAAAACTGATGTACTCTGCAGTATATGGGTAATTTCCTTCTTCAAACAACACGTGACGGCTGATGTATACACGACCAGAAGGAGGATGAAGACACCTATACCCCTTGTGCTGCTCACTATACCCAATGAAAACACAATGCAGAGACTTCGGATCAAATTTGTTATGTTGATAGCTGCGCAACATTGGAAAGCAACTACAACCAAACACTCTTAGGGACGTATACACCGGTGCTTTACCTACCAGGGCTTCATACGGACTCATGAACTGAGGAAGAGCTGACGAAGGCAGAAGATTAACAAGATACACAGCAGTAAGAAACGCTTCCAACCAGAGTTGGTGAGGAACTTTACTCTGAAACATCATTGCTAATCCAAGCTCAGTGATGTGTCTATGTTTGCGTTCAGCCAAACCGTTCTGTTCTGGAGTGTGAGGACAAGATATCATGTGTCTGATGCCACAGTTGGTAAGATGATTAATGAACTGACGACTGAGAAATTCACCCCCTCCGTCAGATTGAAACGACTGTATTTTCAGTTCAAGCTGAGTTTCTACCAAGGTTTGGAAACGAAGAAATACACTGTGAAATTCAGACTTCATCTTTAAGGGAAACAACCATGAATATCTTGAAAAATTGTCGATGAAGATAGCATAATAACGATAACCTTGTGTAGATACAACAGGAGAGGGTCCCCACAAATCACAATGAATACGTTCAAGGGGTCTCTTAGCTACAAAGGTTGAAGGGTAAAACGGAAGTTTAGAAATCTTTCCCATTTGACAAGCTTCACACAGACGCGAAGTTGTCTTATTCACTACTATGGCCTTATTTTGCTTGAGATGTTGGAGAGTGTCTAGATGAGGATGGCCCAGCCTCATATGCCAAACAGAGTCCGTTGCAGCTTGCTGTCTTGAAGAATAGAAAGCCACAAACTTCATGTTCTCCAACACATATAGATCCTTCTGTCTAGTTCCTTTTGTCAACAGCTGCCTTGTCTGTTTGTCCTTAACAACAACACCATCAGAATCGAACTCAATAGCACAAGGATAATCAGACGTAAGTTTTGACACAGATAATAGAGATTTGGCTATGTCTGGACACACAAGAACATCGTTCAGATAGAGGTTACCTTGAAGACTTGGCAACACCGCTGAACCGACGTGAGTAATAGGGAGAAAATCGCCATTACCGACCAGAACCGTGTCCTCACCAAGATAGGGTTGAGATTGTTGAAGGTTCGTCGTGGAGTTGGTGATGTGAGCCGAGGCACCTGAGTCCGCGTACCAGTCATTTGGATGCTCTGAAGATCTCATTGCTGTGAAGGCACGAGTAAGCTCCTCTGTCTGATAGGAATGATCGAAGCGTTTGTAACATTTGTACGCTGGATGACCAAACTTGTTGCATATCTGACACGTTGGCCTATTATCAGATTGAGAGTTTCCTCTGCCTCCTCCTTGACTGATTTGTTGGGGAAAGCCTCGACCTTGTGTTGAGTAAGATCCACGACCACGTCCTCTGTAGTGACCACGTCCACGCGATGAAGAACCTCCTCTGTTATTGACGTAGAAGGCTTGATGAGGGGAAGCTTCAGAGTTTGCTTCGTAAGCAGTAAGCTTTTCAGCAAAAGCTGTAAGCTTGAAGACGACGTCATCAAACGTTGGTCCTGGAAAGTTGTCCATAGAGTTTTCTATGACAATGGTAATGGACTCGTACTCGCGTCCGAGACCACGTAAGACACTGTAGATCTTCTCTTGATCGGACAAGGGAGCACCGATGGAATCCAGTTGGTCGCAAAGCTCCTTGATCTCAGACACGTACTGAGTGAAGGTTTTGTTGCCTTTCTTCATGGACTGTATGCGACTCTGGATGTCGAGCTTCCTTGTTGCAGTGACACGGTTGTATCGTTGACCGAGATGAGACCAGATCTCCTGAGCAGATCTGAGAGCATAAATGCCTTTGATAGCATCTTCCGACAGAGAACCCACTAACCAAGCCATAACGAGTTGATCCGTACGGACCCATTTCGCGTAGGCTGGGTTAGGTGTTTCTGTGAGTTGATCTCCAACGCGAACAGTGAGAAGAGGCTCGGGTCTTGGCGTCGCTCCGTTGACGTGACCGAGAAGGGACTGACTACTGAGAAATTGTTCGAACTGGAACTTCCATGATAGATAGTTCTTATCGGACAACTTCAAAGTAACACACTGAGTAATCGATAGAGTAGCAGAAAGAGGATCAGGAACGCTCGCCATGGAGCTCTGATACCATGAAAGCTTTGTTAAAGCTTGGGGAAGAAGATAAACTTTTCTCTGTTTTATTCAACTTAACCATTACAACTCTGACTCACTGCTCTTATATACACGAGCTGTCTAGGGTAAACCAATACAACACGTCAGCATACTAGGGAATCAAATCTGTTGAATAGCTGTAATTGCTGAGCTGTGTGCGTCGTACTGCGGCAAGACCNATACAACACGTCAGCATACTAGGGAATCAAATCTGTTGAATAGCTGTAATTGCTGAGCTGTGTGCGTCGTACTGCGGCAAGACCGTTGTGGTGCTTTTCCGTTGGAGACTAAGCGTTGAACACTCTGTTTGTCTTTTAGCTCCAGGCCCATCTCCTTGTCTTGTGTTTCCTGTTGGGCCTTAGTACTGAGCAAGGCCTGGTCTTGCTTACACAGCTAGCAATGTTCTCTGTATAATATGTTCTCCAGAAAGTGTTGTCTTTCAGAAAGCCAAGGTACATTGCGACTCTCAACCAATTTGTAGCAGAGTTGAAATTATTCTGATTGTCTCTAAAACTGAAGGGAAATGAGTGTATAGTTATTGAACCTGAGCTGTTGACAGCTGATGCAGCCAAAACAGGTTTATTCTACATGATAGTTCTGAGCTTGCATTTAAAATGCAGATCCAAAAAGGTTAAATAGGGGCATTCCGAGAATCGAACTCGGGACCTCTCGCACCCAAAGCGAGAATCATACCACTAGACCAAATGCCCTGTTGTTGATGTAATTTGGTCAATGCATAACTGTTCTTGAAACTCCAGTATAATTTTCTTTTTGTGTTTACTGGAAATCAGTTGATGTAGGTGTTATGCTTTTCATTTCCCACAGTTTCCGTTTTGGAGAACCTAGCAGCATAAATAGTGTTTCCGTGAAGCAAATAGGAGTCGATGAATATGAAAGCAGAGGTACTTTGTGGGTCTAGTTCTACCGATTAAAACTTCCGCACTCAATTTTCTGAAGTCATGATGAGCTATTGTTATGATTCTTGATTTGTCGCTGTAAATCCAAATACTCTTTGACAGATTGTTTTATACTTGAATGTTAATCAACTTAAAGTTATCAGCAAAAGCTTTTGCCTTTCAAATGTGACATGTAGCACTGGATAGCCTAATAAGCTTCTCCTTTGGCCATTTCACTAAATGCTCTTCTATTTTGGATTATAACTTTATTCACTCCAAGAGCTGGAGTTCTGAGTTTTGCTGCCGATCATTGTTTTTTGGCTAACATTTTTGATAAATAACTGATTCTAGAAGTTAAAGAATTTTAGAGGTGAACTTGTTACTTAAAAGTTTCTTTCATTTTGAAGTATTACAGTTTTTGTGTTCAAAAAGCTGAATATTAAAAGTTATGGTTAAAAACTTAAAATTCAAATTTAAACCAAAGCCAAACTAATAGTATGCCTTCTACACCAAGAAACTTCCCTATTACCAAAACAAGACAAAAAAAACCACTATTTTTACCGGACAAGGATCCATCTTTTATCACAGTTTAGATCAGCTAATGAGAATCTTCAGACTCGCATCTGTCGCACCGCGAATTTCCCCCTCGAATCACTACACAACTCTCCCGTTAAAACAAGACGTTTCTGCGGCAAGCATCGCCGGAGCTCTTCAAGAACACATCAACTCTCCATCCCCAAAACCCGGTAAGAAGATCCACGCCGACATAATCAAAACCGGGTTCAGACCAGGTTTAAACGTATCCATCAAACTACTAATCCTCCACCTAAAATGCGGCTGTTTGACTTATGCACGCCAAGTGTTCGACGAAATACCCAAACCAACGTTATCTGCTTACAACTACTTGATCAGTGGCTACCTGAAGCAAGGATTGGTTAAGGAGTTTCTTCTCCTAGTCCAACGCATGGCTTACTCTGGAGAAAGGGCAGATGGGTACACTCTTTCCATGGTTCTTAAGGCATCATCATCATCTAGTAGTCTTGGTAGCTTATGCAGGCTGGTCCATGCCAGGATTGTGAAATGTGATGTTGAGTTAGATGACGTGTTGATCACTGCTCTTGTTGATGCTTATGTGAAGAGTGGGAAGCTGGAGTGTGCGAGGACTGTGTTCGAAACGATGAAAGATGAGAGTGTTGTGTGTTCTACGTCGATGATCTCAGGTTACATGAACCAAGGATTTGTAGAGGAAGCTGAAGAGATTTTCAATGCGACTAGAGTTAAAGATATTGTAGTTTACAATGCTATGGTTGAAGGATTAAGCAGAACTGGTGAGACTGCTAAGAGAGCTGTTGAGATGTATGTTTCGATGCAACGAGCTGGTTTTCATCCAAATATCTCGTCTTTCGCTAGTGTCATTGGCGCGTGTGCGGTTCTGACGGGTGTTGAAGTAGGTATGCAAGTGCATGGACAGGTTATGAAGAGTGGAGTCTACACGCATATCAAAATGGGGAGCTCTTTGTTGGATATGTACGCAAAGTGCGGTGGGATTGATGATGCGAGGAGAGTGTTTGATCAGATGCAAGAGAGGAACGTGTTTTCTTGGACTTCGATGATTGATGGGTATGGGAAGAACGGGAACCCTGAGGAGGCGCTTGAACTCTTTAATAAGATGAAGGAAGTTAATGTAACACCCAATTATGTAACGTTTCTTGGAGCTCTCTCTGCGTGTTCACATTCTGGTTTAGTGGAGAAAGGCTATGAGATATTTGAGAGCATGCAGAGAGATTATTGTATGAAACCAAAGATGGAACATTATGCTTGCATGGTTGATCTCATGGGACGGGCTGGAGATTTGAGTGAAGCTTTGGAGTTTATTAGGGCGATACCTGAAAGGCCTAACTCTGATGTTTGGGCTGCTCTTTTGAGTTCTTGTAGACTGCATGGTAATGTTGACATTGCGAGCATAGCTGCTAATGAGCTTTTTAAACTGAATGCTGATAAAAGACCTGGAGCTTACATAGCGTACTCCGATGTTTTGGCTTCTGCTGGTAGATGGGAGAACGTGAGCGAGATTAGGGATGTGATGAAAGCTAGAAAGATACCTAAGAATATTGGTCGTAGTTGGATCAGTTCCGAGAAAGCTCAATGAAGGTCTTTTGTATCCAAGCCTGAGATTTATCAGAAGATTTGATTGGGGATGAGAGTTTTTGCGACTAAATGTTTTACAGAAGTGATACTTATGAAACATGCAGTAAGGCTTCTCTCATTTATGCTCTTCAAATCAAATACAGTGAGCTCGAAAACATGTACTTTATTTGATGAAACCAAAGTTATATAATGGTTAATTATGTTTTGTGTTTCTGTTGTGCGTTTATGGAGGTTTCTCTTGTTTTGTAGGTAAACAAGAGAGCACATATTCATTCTTGTGGAACGTAATAATGGCCTCTTTTGAGAAGGGTGAACCAGGGTTATTTCAATAATATTGGCCTTTGATTTTGTGTTGTTATGGTCTTTGCAGCTCTGACAAAATATACCTTTTGAGGTCAACTTATAAAACAATAAAAAAGGCAAACTCAATGCCTTGAGGACACAACAGCTCATGAATCCAATAAACTACCAAGCAGTAAGTTTTATGACCATACTGCCTCCTCTACAACAGTTCCACGCAATAATTTAAATCATTCATTTTATGGTCTAGTTTTGTACGCATCTACTAACTTCTAACTATAATTGAAATATATTGGTATTTAATTATTATCTTCGCTGTTTTTCTTCTCCATTAGATTAGTTTTTTTTCTTTGTTTCACAAGTATTTTCAGTTGTCAACAAATGAAAAATATTTAGAAAACTCAATAGAGAATACACAATAATTTACATAAACAATAGATGACGGTTGAATACAAATACACGGTTTCAACTTATTCATCATTTCACTAATATGGTAATGGTATTACATATATCTTTGAATATATTTTCTGGATCAAACTTATACGTACGGAGTATGTATAAATTAGAGTCTAGCGTTATAATTAAAATTGCTAAGAAAATATTTACCACGAGGATTATGTATACACAAATACATTTATCTATTACTATAAAGTATTGTTTCCCTCTTTTTTCCCTTGCCACGTCAGAAAATCAGTCAAGGAAAGCGTGACATCTGTCCCTCTTTGTTCAAAGTTATGCGTTTCATTTAATCAAATTTGTGTTTATTTGGGCCTTATTCAGTTGGGCTGCGTCTACACTTGATTAGGCCCATATAAATCTATATCCACCATATCAATTGTTAAACAATGCGTTTCTAATTAGGGTTCATCATTCGTGGTGTCTCTATTTTGCATCTCCATTCCTCATCGAACTACCGATCTTTCATATTTTCTTCTTTCGGTGCGAGATGAGACAGTAACAGATTTCCCCTCATAAAGCCCTCCATTAATCGACCACACATGATCTATATTCAATGCAACCCTAGAGACTGCAAGGTGGTGGATGTTCTACTATAAAAAAGGTATGAGCTCATGTCTTTAGAATCATACTTCATTCTACCGTGATGATCATGTTATTTTTGTCTTTAGAACTGAGAAACTCCCAACTGTGATGATTTCGTTGCTTATGTTTCAGGTGACCATGATACCGGCCACAATCAATGTCAACCGGTTGGAGACCCACTGGCTTAACCTGAAGCGGGTTCGGTTTATACCCTAACCGGGTTTGATATTGCTCGGTGTAACCCAAATTACCGTCTATCGGATTCTTCCTTGCTATTTAGCGACTCAACTTCTTGCAAGGAGGTTACCGATCCTGCTGTTCCAATACATTCTGAATCATTTCGCTTGCGTAACCACATTGAGATCCTTGGGCTCGCCTAACAATCAGTTTCCAGGTAATTTGTATCTTATATATTCCTCTGAATATCCGATTAGATAGATAATAATCTTCATTTTCAGACCTCATTGGTGAGATTACTGCTGTGAAGAGCATTAGAGCACTGTCATTCCTCAGGAAAAGAACCGGGTTATGGCTACCATCAAGATGGACAAGTAAGTCATTTAGACTTTATCATATCTCCAGTTGTGTTTATCTAATTACAACGTTTATCTCACTGTTGTAACTTCTCATTTATCAGTGACACGTCAGAGACTATGAGCTTCTTCTGGGATTGTTCCTAGGAAATTATATGTTGGAGTTATTCCTTATTCGAGATTAAATTCGTAGCTACTTCAGCTAATCTTCCAACGGCAAACTCCCTGCAACACCCCTGATCATCTCAAGGTAAAACCTTTTAGTCTAGCCTCTATCTCTTGAGTAATATATTAACGGGATCGTAATCTCTATCTTATCAGAGCTTGATCCCATGTGCAAGCATCACTGAGAGAAACACATAGAAGATTGTAGAGATGGAAAATTGAGAAGATTTTGGAAGAATACTCTTCTCTTTAAGTTATGATTATTCAATCTTGAAATCACAAAATGAGAGAACCTTCTTCTTTCCAAGCTGGTAAACATGCTCTTCACCAAATCCGTATGACTAATAAACTAAAACTTGCTAATTTCAGGGGAATAAGAGTACATAAATTTGTTTACGTGCTTTTGTGTCATGCGTGTCCTTCATCTTTTTTTATACGTTATCTTCTTGATTGGGAAAAACACATGTGTTTTAGAATTTTACTGGCCAATTGGGTTTTAGGTAAGTAACAAGTTCTTACAGGGATATATCATTCTCTATGTGCAGGATGGCTTTACTTTGGCTTGGAGATACAATGCCGCCACAGCGCCACTACGTTTTCATCCGGCTGCGTCACTTACGGACCACACCTTTAGAGTTGTTCTTTATTTGTTGGAGATAGCAGACACTTTTCCGGTTCCGTGGACAATTTTATAAATGTAAGTATTGACTAGGAAATTATATTTTTAGTGGATTTGCTTTATCACCTTCTAAAATAAGTTGTCCATGTATCGTTGTTGTTTATTTTGCGTCATGTTTATTTAGAGAGTCATATTGAGATGTGTAGGACATTGATATGTTGAAGTATTTGTTTTCAAGAACACCAGCTAGCTTCCGAGTCTGCTGTGACGGATCTCCATCGGCTGCAAACGACGTTTTCATCCTAATCGCCATTATCATATTTTATGGGTTCTTGATGATTCCTTACCGCAGATTCATCACTGTAAAGCCATTTTTTACAAATTCACAGCGAGACGACTTCACCATAATGGATTTGTACGGAAACATCTTATTTTCTTTTCTTTTTTTGTCACTCTGGTTTGTCTGGTTTAATTACTCATCTCTCTCCTATTTGTCTCTTTTAAAGATCCCAACATCAGTGAATTTAATAATCTATATCTATATAAAATGTTTTTGTGTATAGTGCTTGCGGGAATGGAGAGATACGCATTTAAAGGAGTTGTATCAAACTTTGTAACATCTAACAGGTGTAGTGAATATGAGTAATTAAATTGCAGCCAAAACTGTAGGCACTTGACTGGTTTCACTTTCTATGTTGCATCTCTTTACTGCTCATTTACTGATATGTATTGGGATATATTCTTCATTATCCTTGCTTCTTCTCATGTAAGCTTTGTGGTACGAATCTTTTATTTTGCGTATAATCATGCATGTATATTAATGTTGAAACTCTATTTTATCGTCGAGTTATGTCTTTCCAATAAGAATTTGGCTGTTTGCCTTATGATCGAGTATCACTTTTTGTTTCCAGCATTCGTCTATTATTGAAACTATTTGGTTAATAAGGATGTGCACTTAGCATTACAATGAATGGTTTTCGACAGGTTTACTTTTCTTAAAATTTTGAAAGTGACTAGATGTACGCTAAGTAGTTTTTTAAAGAAATGGCTTAGATTAACTTAAATAGTAATTGGTCATCATAAATTTAAAAGACCTACGTATTTTAACTTCAGATCATCTATGTTCGATAAGTTTTCTAAAAATTTTTATTTGCTTTAATTTTGAAATTTTTTGAAAAATACCAGACCCAAATGTCTACCGACCCCTAGATAGATCTTACAAGAGTGGCCTACATGTTTATAGTCATAACTCATAATATTCATACATTGTAATAATAATCGGAGAGTCATCATCCTTTTTCCCCGCCAAAATCAGTTACTAAATTAGTAATTCAAATATCAATAACCAACAAAAACATTCATGGGAATCCATACAACATAAAAAAACCTACACCAACACTTCCATTTCAAATTCAGCCTTACCTCAACTAAATCACATAATATATATTGATTTCACAATCCAATAAACACTACTGACAACGCATCAAATTCCTAGACCAGTAATTCTTCGCCAATCATCAAATCATGGACAAAGTTTCTAAGTACACAAAACATTCACACAATAATTACTTATAAATACTTATCCATCAAACACAAAACTATAAAATACAACAAATACTTTTACCCAAACAGTCAGCTCTCTGGTAAGTGTTATTTGCAACAGTTGTAAACCAAATTTTTATTTATAAACCAATTTAAAGTTGTCAAGTCATAAGTCACAATCAGGTGACAATGGCTTATATGGATCAATCAAATCTCAAATCACATAATGCGCTGCATTGATTAAAAGATGATTTAGTCTATTAACAATGAAGATTCAAAGAAGAAGGAACATCATATTGTCACTTGGACACAAGATATGTGATGAATACATATATTCTTATGCTGTTACATTTCCCTTTGAGATTGAAATTTTTGAAAGATTACTTTTCTCACTTTCATCATCTTGATGACACCAAAGTAACTATTTTACTATTACAAAGTTGCAGTTTTGCTCTACTAGGCGATGCTTGAAACGTTAAACGTTAGCGTGTCATGTGACTGGAATACTACGTATAAACAGAGGAAGCTAAGGTTGTGGAGTTCATAAAAATTGTTGCCAAGTCAAGAGCCATAGTGAGGTATCAGTTGGTGTAATGGCTTTGCATTTCTGCAAACGGTACAATTACGTTGAGCTTCTAATATTTATAGTTTGAACAATGGCATTATATGTTATGATTCTTTTTTCAACCCTATAGCATCAAAACTACTATAATACATATGTTTCTTACTCACAGAATTGCATACAGAAAGCTAATGACCTTTACAAAGCTCTGGAAGACGAAGTTAATACATAGAAGATATTGTTTTCTTGATTTAGAGTCGTTTATGTTGTCTCTTTATTTCTTTTCTTTTTTTTATAAAATATGACTAGCCATCTTTATCTTCTCATGTTCGGTGCAGTGACCGAAATAGAATTGACTAAAAATTTAAAGTAATCCTGTTATTGTAGAATCTGTGATTTTTTTCTGTTTTTACTTTATTTTTCTGTCAAAATATGGACATAATTTTTTTTTTTACAATATAAACAATTAAATCTACAACAAAAAATATTAACACATGATTTAAAATGATTTTGAAAAGTAAATGAGAATGAGAATATAAAAAATAAAAAATAAAACATAACA